ATTCCTTTAATTTTCTTTAAATGTAAATATATAAGCAACTTAAGGATTGTAACTTCATTTATATGTAAGCTGGCCTATATTGCTTCTCAAATTTTGTTTTTGTAAAGAATCCACCTAAGTTAATCATAATATAATGAAATATGCATGAATGTTAACATTTATACAAAAAAGTATAAATATATATAGCTTATTTTTTTAAATAGAAGATGAACACAGGACACTTTTGAAATCACACACTTATTCTAGTTGATTTTTTATAATAAACAAGTACTCCTGTAATCATTAAATACTTGGATTATTTAACAATTTCATTAAGAAAACATGATACAAATCATATCATTGCCGCTAAAAAAAATCTTTTAATCATTTTTTCTATATTCTCTCATGATCTTTAATTTACCTCCTCAGCCAACTTCTAGCATAAAAAGCAAAGCACTGAAATCTCATTTTACATACAGCTTATTTGAAAAATAAAACTACATATTATTTAAAATATAAATTTTATTTCAGGCTAATGTTTTCTTCTCACCATGTTTATGATTCTTAATGAAATTCAATATGGAGAGAAAAAAATTCTTGTAGTATTTATTAGTACAGAACTGCCACAATCCAATCTTGGAACCAGATTGACCTGCTTTCTCTGCTCCTGACTGATCAACAGAGAGAATAATGCCCTCAATTCAACTCTGAAAGGGGAGACTGAAGCCAGTTCCTCTGCTTTACCAGCACTGCTCCCTTTTTTTTCCCTCCTCATTCATGAAGCAGGTTATCAGCTTAAAGCTTTCAATTTTACACTACTATTCCGGTTAATTTTTTCCCTTCAGGAAATAAACAATCTGAAAACACGGTAAGAAGACTGAGGGAGCACCAGGCAGAGGGATATTTCTATAATCAAATTTTAAAAAGGAACTGTGTGAAATCCTTATACTAAAGTATTTTGCAATTGTGAGTGGGGTTTTTTCTCTCCTTTTCTACCCTTTAAAACTGTCAATAAGAGAAAAAATATGCAAGTACTACTGAGATCTTTCTGATACAAAGATCAATCTCATGTTCCTAATAGTATAGGAAAAGAGGAAAGAAAAAAGTAAATGACAAAAAAAGACATATTTTAAACCCAGCAGAATGTTTTCATTTGGGACTTAGGAGTCTGGTTACATGGAAGTGAAACTTAAAAACAAATACTCATAGAAGTTGCTCACTTCCATAAATAAATACTGCCTAACAAGCACAGAAATCTTAAGCTAGTCTCATATTTTACCATCCTTTACCTTCACAAACAACTCTGTGAAGTAGGCAGAGCAGGCATTTCCATCCCTACACTACAGAAAACTAATGGCCTATAACTTCTCTACTACTACTGAATGAACTAATAAAAATAATACTAGAAACAAGAAACTTTGGTGTTAACCTCCTCCATTTTACAGATGAAGAAAGGGAAGAAGTTCTGCAAGTCACCTGCCCAATGTTACAGAACTCTCAGTGACAGAATGAAGAGTGGAATTCGGCTCCTAACTTTTGGCCCAGCGTTAATTTATCCAAAAGGTTTATCACTGTATCACTGAGTGGCATTATTAAACTGAGATGGAGATGTGTATTTTTAATAAAAACTATAAAGAGTTATGGAATAAATTCAAATATAAAACTGCCTATTACCTCACATCTTTTACTTAAAATACCCGTTCATGAATTACATCCTCAAACCACAAGTTCGCTAAGATTCTCACAACTTGTAAATATTCAGATCTCCAATATTTTGACTGATGAATTAAAAAACATTTTCATAAACTATGCTAACACTCTTACCTGTCAGAGCATATAATTACCTATAATAAACTATTTTACATAGCTCATTATTTTTCTTTGTATGTGCTCACTAACATCATTTCCACTGTGTACACGTTAAGTACCCCCAATCCGAAAATCCAAAACCTGAAATGCTCCTAAATCTGAAAGTCCGAGTGTCTACATGATGTCACAAGTGCAAATACCACACACAGGGTAGGTCACAGTCATAAGCAGCTGCACTAAAAAATACTGCATAAGATTATTTTCAGGCGGGGCTGGCGATTTAGCTCAGTGGCACAGCGTCTGCCTGGCAAGCGCCAGATCGTGAGTTTGATTCCCGGTACCGGAAAAATAACAAAAAATTAAAATTGAAATTAAAATTTAAAAAAAAAGATTATTTTCAGGCCAAGTGTATGTAAGATTCGTATGAAACATTCATGTTTAGACTTGGGTTCCATCCCCAGAATACCTCACTGTATATACATATATATAATATAGGTGCATATATGCAAATATTCCAGAATCTGAAAAAAACTTCTAAACTTGGAAATATTTCTGTCCCAAACATTTCAGATAAGGGATCCTCAACCTGTACTTCCAACTAGAACAGAGCCAAAACTCAGCTTTGGCAGACAACTTAATGCACACATTTATTAATAAAAATTTGACAATTGGTTACCAGACATTACTATGAGGTGGAAAGTTTTTTAAGGAAAATAAGCAATTCAGAGGAAAGGTTACATGGTCTATATTGCCATAAGAATCCAAAAAGCAATGAACCTTATAAACACATGGTGAACAGATCTTAGTTCTTTGGCAAGATATCTGAACAAATGTTTCAATCCCTAGCCAGCTGGGAAAATTTAACAGTCTTACAGACAATTCCATACATAGGCTTAAAGATCCAAAAACCTATCTAATGCACTTATACTCAAAATTATGCAAGGGAAAGAAACCAAAAGCTATTAGAATGATATACACTTGATGTTTTCTCTCCCTTTCTCACTGCCCAGAGCAGACTCATATAATCAACGTATGCAAAATATTTCTCAAAAAAAAACTATAAATGTACAGGAAGTGCTGAAGGCACTATTTCAGTAACTCAAGATATTTGACACTTCGAGATAACAAGGATCCCATTCAACCTATTTTAAATTTCAAGCAGTTAATACAAGCGCATGAAGTTTCTCAAAACAGGAAGTGAAAAAAATAGTGCTTTGAGAAAAGGCAGCGAACTGGAATTGGAAGAGTTCAAATGCTTAGGATTTAGGTTAATGTTATCTATGAAAGTTGAATATTACTTTCTGATAGCACTTACACTATAAAAATGTTTAACGGCTACTTTAAAAAGGTATTGGCCCCAATACCCAAATCACTTTTGATGTTACTCTCACTTCCTCTTGTGGAAACCATCGTAACCATTTCCTTCAACCACAATACCACAGATCTAGTAACTTTTAGTAATGTTTGACTTGCTCGTTTCTTAGACAAACTATACACAGGAACCAAGCAACAAATTTCTCATGTAGCATAATCTCATCCAAAAATGCAGGTCCATGTAACCTTTAAGTAATACTACCTAAAATGAAATTATTCCCAACTTGTATGAAAGTATAATCAAGGCTCCTTGGTGACTGCAGGGCGCTTAATGACACAGAACTCTTGCCACACAAAACGAGGCAGAAGCCAATAGGCATGTTGCAGATACCTGCCTTCAGGTAAGCAACCACTTTCAAAGTTAATTACCGATTAGCTTGGGACAGTCTTTGGAATCAGTGTCTCAATGAAACTTACAAATAATACCCTCGAACCTCTTCATGTGAATTTCATTAAAACATCTTTCTTTAGTAGCCCTACCACAACCTATGATCTACAGTTTTGCTAAATGCTGACAGGTACATACATGCTATATTAAAGCCAGTAAAAATAGTTACGAAGATATGACACCAAATACACACTGGAAGTCACAAGGATCGATTCAGACAGTACCTTCCCCCAAAAAATCTCTATCGAATTTTCTATCAAGTCTCTATTACATTTCCTCTATAAAATTCTTTAAAACGTAATCTTGTCTTAAAAAGGAGTGGGGTGGGATGGTAAGAAGTGAGTGTCATTTTTTTTTTTCTATCTTTACATCCACTTTTCCAAGTCCGACTCCGCCTTCCCCTTTAATCTGAGGCCAGGTACGGCGCGTCTGGCCCGGGTCTACCGCTGCAGTTACTCAAACGACCCGACCGCGCCGCACGCCGGGAGCAGCGGCAACGAAATACGTTCTGACTTCCAGAAACGCCGCCTGGGCGCTGCGCTGGGGGAGCTCAGACGCGGACGGGCAGGGAGCGACAAGGTGGCTGCTCCCGTCCCGGTGACTCACAGCCGGCAACGATTTCCGACCGGATCCGCCCTCCCTCCGCTCCTCCGACCTTCCCGAGGAAACACCCCGGGCCCCCGCGCTCCCCGAGCGCCCCCGGAACCCGCGACGCGGGGGGACGCGGGGGGACGCG